TACATGACATTTTATATTGGCGACGTTATCTACATGACATTTTATATTGGCGACGTTATCTACATGACATTTTATATTAACGACGTTATATACATGACACTACATGACATTGTATATTGACGACGTTACCTACATGACATTGTATATTGACTACGTTATTTACATGACATTGTATGTTGACGTTATTTACATGACATTGTATAATGACGACGTTATCTACATGACATTTTATATTGGCGACGTTATCTACATGACATTTTATATTGGCGACGTTATCTACATGACATTTTATATTAACGACGTTATATACATGACACTACATGACATTGTATATTGACGACGTGTATATTGACTACGTTATTTACATGACATTGTTTATTACAACGTTGTCTACATGATATTGTATATTGCTACATGACATTTTTTATTGACGACGTTGTCTACATGACATTTTATATTTACGACTTGATCTACATGACATTGTATACTGACGACGTAAACTACATTCGTTATTTACATGACATTGTATATTGAGGACGTTATCTACATGACATTATATATTGACGACGTTATCTACATGACACGTTATCTACATGACATTTTATATTGGCGACGTTATCTACATGACATTTTATATTGAGGACGTTATCTACATGACATTATATATTGACGACGTGATCTACATGACATTTTATATTGACGACGCTATCTACATGACATTGTATAATGACGACGTTATCTACATGACATTGTATATCGCCGAGGTGATATACATGACATTTTATATTGACGACGTTGTCTACATGACATGTATATTGACGACGTGATCTACAAGATATTGTCTAATGACGACGTGATCTACATGACATTGTATATTGACGACGTGATCTACAAGATATTGTATAATGACGACGTGATCTACATGACATTGTATATTGACTACGTTATTTACATGACATTGTATATTGACGACGTTATCTACATGTCATTGTATATTAACGACGTTATCTACATGACATTGTATATTGACGACGTGATCTACATGACATTGTATATTGACGACGTTATCTACATGACATTGTATAATGACGACGTGGTGTACAGGACATTGTATATTGACGACGTGATCTACATGACAGTGTACATTGACTACGTTATTTACATGACCTTGTATATTGACGACGTTATCTACATGACATTGTATATATTGACGACGTTATCTACATGACATTGTATAATGACGACGTGGTGTACAGGACATTGTATATTGACGACGTGATCTACAAGACATTGTATATTGACGACGTTATCTACATGTCATTGTATATTAACGACGTTATCTACATGACATTGTATATTTACGACGTGATCTACATGACATTGTATATTGACGACGTTATCTACATGACATTTCATATTGACGACGTGATCTACATGTAATTGTATATTGACTACGTTATCTACATGACATTTATATTGACGATGTTATCTACATGACATTGTACAGTTGTGGGATCGCACAATGTTACACGATGTACGGTGTGCGCACGATGTGTGGACGGTGTGTGAACGGTGTGTGCACGATGGGCTAACGATAAAAAGCTGGACGATCATTTCTTGCGCACACATGTGCGCACAATGGACGGACGTTGTGCGATAACAATCGTGGTTGGTGTAAATTGAGTAATGCCTCAACAATACATACAGTTTCATGTTTAAACATATAAACTTGATGTTTACTTATGTTTCTATATTCTAGCAACATCTATATACTTATCTTTCTGTCTATAAATTCCTATATTTAGGAATTGTGTTTTCTGTGTTTTATACAAACTTAATCGACACATGTAAAATTACAACACCCGTATATAGGTAAACATAACCATTGTGTACATGTACCTGGACCGTAGTTTTCCCCCCGCCTGGGGCACTTACGTAACTCGTCGGGTAAGGCCGGGGGGGGAAAATCCAGGTGAAGGGGAGCTATAGGCAAACGAATGCAAATAACAAATACTATTCCTTACGGTCAAACGGTATCGCATATCAACTCTGTGTGTCAGGCACTGGTCAGGTAAAACTCATCAAGTTGTTATTTACCTGTTCTGTTACCTTGGAGCCAAACCCATTCTTGACAGCCTATAACGGTGGCTGTACTACTGTGTAACACGCATTGTGAAATTGTGAAATTGTATAATCTTGATTATTTTGATGAGAAACTACAGATATATAAATAGTGTAAATTATCGCATACAAGCCTTCCTTATTTTTGTCATTCCGTAATTTTGATCTACAAATGGTACCAAATCGCACAGTTGTGCGGAGGAAAGCGCACAACGGGGCGAACGATTGCTAAATCGCACGTTTGTGCGCACCATGTGTGGACGATGTGCGGACAGTGTGTGAACGGTGCGCACGTTATTTTTGGTGCATTGTGCGGTCTCACAACTGTATATTAACGACGTTATATACATGACATTTTATATTGACGACGTGATCTACATGACATTGTACATTGACGACGTGATCTACATGACATTGTATATTGACGACGTTGTCTACATGACATTGTATATTGACGACGTTGTCTACATGACATTTTATATTTACGACGTGATCTACATGACATTGTATACTGACGACGTGATCTACATGACATTGTATATTGACGACGTTATCTACATGACATTGTATATTTACGACGTGATCTACATGACATTGCATACTGACGACGTGATCTACATGCCATTGTATATTGACGAGGTGATATACATGACATTGTATATTGACGACGTTGTCTACATGACATTGTTTATTGACGACGTTGTCTACATGACATTTTATATTTACGACGTGATCTACATGACATTGTATATTGACGACGTGATCTACATGACATTGTATATTGACGACGTTATCTACATGACATTGTAGATTGACAAGGTGATATACATGACATTGGATATTGACGACGTTGTCTACACGACATTGTATATTGACGCCGTGATCTACATGACATCGTATATTGACGAGGTGATATACATTACATTGTATATTGACGACGTTGTCTACATGACATTGTATATTGACTACGTTATATACATGACATTGTATATTGACGACGTTGTCTACATGACATTGTATATTGACGACGTTATCTACATGACATTGTATATTGACAAGGTGATATACATGACATTTTATATTGACGACGTTGTCTACATGACATTGTATATTGACGACGTTATCTGCATGACATTGTATATTGACGACCTACATGTAATTGTATATTGACTACGTTATATACATGACATTGAATATTGACTACGTTATTTACATGACATTGTACATTGACGACGTTATATACATAACATTGTATATTAACGACGTTGTCTATATGACATTGTATATTGACGACATTGTCTGCATGACATTGTATATTGACGATGATCTACATGACATTGTATATTGACTTCGTTATATACATGACATTGTATATTGACGATGATCTACATGACATTGTATATTGACGGCGTTGTCTACATGACATTGTATACTGACGACTTTATCTACATGACATTGTATAGATTGACGACGTTATCTACATGTCATTTTATATTGACGACGTTATCTACATAACATTGTATAATGACGAGGTGATATACATGACATTGTATATTGACTAGGTGATATTCATGACATTTTATATTGACGACGTTGTCTACACGACATTGTATATTGACGACGTTATCTGCATGACATTGTATATTGACGACATGACATTGTATATTGAGGACGTTATCTACATGACATTGAATATTGACGACGTTGTCTACATACGTTATTTACATGACATTGTATATTGACTTCGTTATATACATGACATTGTATATTTACGACTTTATCTACATGACATTGTATATTAACGACGTTGTCTACATGACATTGTATATTGAAGACGTTATCTACATGACATTGTATATTGACGACGTTATTTACAAGACATTGTATATTGACGACGTTATTTACATGACATTGTATATTGACGACGTTATCTACATGACATTTTATATTGACGACGTTATCTACATGACATTGAATATTGACTACGTTATTTACATGACATTGTATATTGACGCCGTTATCTACATGACATTGTATATTGACAACGTTATTTACTTGACATTGTATATTGACAACGTTATCTACATGACATTGTATATTGACAACGTTATTTACTTGACATTGTATATTGACAACGTTATCTGCATGACATTGTATATTGACAACGTTATTTACTTGACATTGTATATTGACAACGTTATCTGCATGACATTGTATATTGACGACGTTATTTACATGACATTATCTACAAGACATTGTATATTGACGACGTTATCTACATGACATTGTATATTGACAACGTTATTTAGATCACATTGTACATTGACGACGTTATCTACATGACATTTTATATTGACGACGTGATCTACATGACATTGTATATTGACGACGTTATCTACATGACATTGTATATTGACGACGTTATTTACATGACATTGTATATTGACGACGTCTGTTTGTCTTACAGTACAGACAAATTGATACATGACATAAAACTGTTAAAAGAAAGACCATATGGTAAGTGTGTCGAATAGGTAAATGATAACATTTTAGTGTCAACATTGAAAATGAATTTATTTGAAATGTGTGAGAATGGATAATAAATACATGTTTGCATTGAACATTAATTTTATTTATGTTGTAAGTTATTTCAACTTATATTGCTCACTTGTGTAGGCTATTGGCCCGGATGTTATCACGCGTGAGTTCGAAGGCGCATGCGTTATCCACTGCGCCACCCAATGACCCTGTCCTGCTTGTATTGGTTTGTCGTCCTATTATCAGTAGTGCTGGGGTCGGTATGTTAGGGTATTTTCGTATTTTGCATCAGATCGTCTCTATCAAAGTGTACTTTAAAACTCGTTTATATCTGTCGGCAGGAGGCGGTTCTGGAGAAACACTGTCAGCAAAACAGCACCATTTGTACCAAAGGTAAGCCGTGAAAAAGCAATATTACACTTTAGCAACAACAGAATGGTATGTGTGATAATTTGGTTTTAATATTTGCTTTTATTTCGTTTGCCGTCCTATTAATATCTGAGGTCATTTAAGGACTACACCCATGTGAGCAAGGGACTATATGTTGGTGTATTTGCCTCTTTTCGATAGCAATGTTTTTATAGTGCTATATCTCACTAATATACCTTGTCGAAAACACCCGGTATACTATTCCGCCTTGTCGCATTATACTGCCTAATAGTAAACTAGTTGCTGACATTGTCACTCTTGTTGAACGTTAAGCAGGAAATAACAACTACCATTTTAAGGCATTGCTATGTCCCAGCCCGGTGACAGAACCCATTGCCTTCCCAACTTCGGCAAACGGTCAACACGGAGGCCAAAAATTAGGTTTTCGATTTATTGATTTCAATTCAACAGATCCAAGGGTCCAATTGCAGAATTGATAACAATGATAACAACAGTATAATAAAATATCACAGATAAATACATACAAACAATATTAAGAAAAGTGTAGCATGCATACAAAAGCATTAAATCATTTAAAACATACTGCCTTTAGGCGAGACTTAAAAGAAGGCAAGGTACAATCAGACTTAAAAGAAGGCAAGGTACAATCAGACTTAAAAGAAGGCAAGGTACAATCAGACTTAAAAGAAGGCAAGGTACAATCAAATATACAGTCAAGCTCACGGGCATTTCTGTTGAAAGTTCTTACTGCACGATGGATAGTGCTAATTGTTCGAACATCAATCCGACCTGTAGGACAACTATATTGTAAAATCCTAGCAGAAATTTTCTCGGAACTGAAATACCAATCTTTTCTACTAAAAACGACCAGTCGAACAGCCCATGTCCAGATAGTGTCGTCTGCTTTCCAAAGAAAGCAGATTAAAATGTTCACATATATTAGAATAAGATTAATGAATATGGAAATTAAAATTTACCTTAAAGCACAAAAATTAAAAAAAAAATGTACTGATTCTATCTGGTGTATAAAAGTAGTTTGGTGCGGTGACCAGATCTCGCTGTAATACTACAATTGACTTCTGACTAAACGTATATGCAATGACCTTATTACCAGTACGTTTTTAAAATGTTTACATAAACGTTTTAAAAATCAGAGCATTTGCATACCTTGTGACACAACGTTTTTAATATGGTGGGAGAAGTTAAGATTACCCGATATTCAGACTCCTAGGTCGGCCTAAGAGAGTCGCTAAAAACAGAAAAGGGAGGAGAAAATAAAACTAAGTAGAAGACAAAAAAGCAAATCCCCATATGAAGATATTTATAGAAAAGGACACAAACAGAATGTGTGCAAGTTATGGTGTACAACATTATGAAACCAAATCAATAATTGCTATCAGTTGTGGTAACTTTCGGCTGAATCTACCAGCTGGTCCATCGTGTGTTCATATGGAGGCCTTTACTTAGGAAGACATCATCGACAAAAAATAACAAGTTGGGAACAAAACGAGATGAAAACTGTGCTTAGTTGAAAACGAAAATAAATAGAAGGAAAATGAGAAAGAACACATATCGATCTCTAATGTTCGAATGGGGTTAGATCAACTTTCCTTTTTTCAATGTTCCAAAACGAGGCCGAAAACAATTGTTTGTCATATTCCACTGCGAATTGTAAGAATACGGAATAATCTTCCGGGAAATGTGATTTTATCACCGACTGTAAATATTTTTTAAAAAGATTCGGTTAGCATTGGGAGAATCGGGAATTATATATCTTAGATACGTTAATGATCCAAATTCTATCACATGCATCTATTGTTGATATGTCATTGCAATGAGCCCGGTGTAAATGGTCCTCATTGGTCCTTTATCGGTAAAAACCCCCTATTTTATGTGTTTACAGGACACAAAGGATCACTTGGTGTGAAGGGATTCAGAGGTAAGTCATAAATAAATGATGTTGTGTTTTAGGAATAACATTCATCGGTCTGGTGTTATTAACTAACGCTAAGTTTCTTTTGAACACAAACAGTTATTGAAAGCGTAGTTTGCGAGCTTTCCGAAAGTGTGGTTCCTTTGTCAAGCCATTACACTGCTGGGAATAATTCACGTAGCCACACAGTTCCGATCCAGTAAAACATAGCTGTCAGAATAATATCGAGATATTGTAATGCGGATTTACCTCTTCCGGAAATCGGGGTCCGGTCCCCGGATTTGATATTAGACACGGAAGCAGGTTATCCGGGGTTCGTTGAGTTTTACCGCCATTTTAAAAGGTTGCACTGAAAACTCGGACGATCTTTGTGTTGTTATTGAAGAACACAGCCAGCCATCCGGCATAACAAGTGGTGTCAGAAGTGGGATTTTGCTTATACGCCCTGCAGGGAGTCCAAAACCCGTTTCTTTTTGTGTAATGTATTGCAATTCGTACCTCAAAGTGGACAGAGGTCTGCTACAGGTAATCGCGCTGCATTGTGTGTTTGTGGGTTGTTACTCGTCATTTAAATGATTATTTTGTAATTTGATTACTATAACTCATTTTTTATTTTCACAAAGTAAGAGCACAATAACTAATTTACTCGGTTTGGGTAATTTACTGTTTTGTGTGCCTATATTTAGCCTGTGTTTCTGTACTTTCGTTTTAAATGTATTTTCGTATTGGTGTTCACTGCGAACACTAGAACTGTTTCCAAACGAATTGTTCACTGCGAACGGTCAAACATTATCTTTCAGAGGTCGGAGAAGGATCTCGTAGACTACCTTAAATCACACAACGTGACAATACCACCTCACGAGGCAGATTTGAACAAAATGGATGATAAAGAACAAGAAGTCACACCAGGGGAAGGAGAGTCTTCAGTTGACACTGCGTCAGCTGCGGCATACGATATGCTTCAATTCGTAATGAAAAGTGTTGATGAGCAGCGTGATACACGAATGAAGATGTTTCGGCAAACTATGGTGGAGTTTGAAGACGAAAAGAAACGAAGCTTCGAGGCACAAAGTGAAATGATGAAGTCCTTCATGCAAGAGACACGTCATGATATTCAAAATGCCATAGGACATCAAGCACCGCTTGCACAGATTACATTTTCATCTATGGGTCCACAACAAGAATTTGGAAGGTCGATAGACAGAGGATCGTTTGGTGGTTTTGACGAAGAACTCCGGGTGATCCAGGATAGAGAACGCTCGTATTCAAGTCCAAACTTAAATGGACAGAACTCTGCACTATCCAGTACCCCCTCATTGGAAAGACAGGATATGGGACGTATGCTGAACAGACATCAAGGAAAGGGTCCTCAAACAAAACTTCCAGTGTTTGAGGGAAAGGAGGATATAGAGGTTTTTATTGTTCCCTTTGAACGGTTAGCAGAGCGTTATAACTGGACAGACAATGAGAAAGTGGACAGACTCTACGAATGTCTAAAAGGAAGGGCCATGTGGTACATCTGCTCCTTACCAAGGGAGATGAGAAGAGATTACAGGAATCTAAAGGATAGTCTGATCAAGAGGTTCGGACGAAGAGACCCATCCACAACAGCGATATCAAAATTACATGAAGTAAGGCAACGCGGCCTAAGTAATGACGAATTTGGGGAAGAGGTTTGGCGCCTAGTTACCCTTGCTTATCCTAATGTAGATCTCGACTTGCAGGATCAATTGGCTGCAGAGGCATTCCTCAAGGGGTACAAGAACCCCAAGGTATCTTATGATGTGTTGAACAAGAAACCAAAAACTATCAATGAGGCTATTGAAATGGTTACTTCACAAGAACATAACTTCAAAGCCACCATCGGTAGGGAGAAAGAGATACGAGACAAGGCTCGGCGCGTTTCATGGGCTGATGGGGCTGGTGTAAAAAATGTCTCCGATGACGAAGAAGCGTTGAATACACAGCGTGTTCAACTGCCAAACACTGCCTTAGAGTCGGACAACCTCAGTAAATTAGATGTTCGGATGAAACAGCTTGAGGATCTTGTTCGGAATAGCTCGCTAGAGTGTCGCGCAAGATTCGACCAGTTAGGGAACGAACGCCAAAGTGGGTTTAGCAAGGAAGGAAAGGAATGTTACAGATGTGGTGGTAAGGGACACTTCCAAAGAGATTGCAGCTCTAGGAGATCAAGATCGCCCACACCACCGAACAGTCCCCGTTCTCGCTCACCACAGCATGATGTTAAGATCACCCGGACCAATAGGACAGAGAAAAGCATTATCGTCCCAGTAACGGTCAATGGAACAACAACTGAAGCGGTTATTGATACTGGGGCCGACGCCACAGTCATCTCTGAGAAATGGGCAAATGAAATANCTGGAAGTCAACGGAAAAGTAATCCCAGGACACTCTCAGTTGAACAGATCTGGGACTGCTATTGCCAGGAGTATAGTTAGAGTACATGCAGATGTTGTGGTGCCACCAGGAAGTGAGAAAATAATCATCGGAAGATTGGAGACACCATCAGACACTTCTCAAGCAATACTGGAGGCATTCAATCATCAAAGCGGAATGCGAGTTGGGTCATGTCTTGTCTCTATGAATCAAACTATTCCTGTGAGAGTTCTCAACCTGAAGGATAGCGAGATTAAACTCACAAATGGCACATTTCTAGGAAAAGTTGAGGAAGCTGACCTAGCTTGGGACCCAAATATGAGCAGGGAGCCTTCCGTAAACACCAGTGTCGAGTCAGAACATTTACAAGAGGCCCCTGGGACAAACAGAGAGGTTCCGTTGCATGTACATGATATTTTTGAAGAGTCCTCAAAAGGACTGTCATCAAATCAAAAAGAGGATCTCTGTATGCTGCTGAATGACTTTCCTGATATATTTGCTAAGGATGACTACGACCTAGGCAGATTCAGCTGAGTCAGACATAAGATTGACACAGGGGAAAACAAACCTATACGTCATCCCGCAAGAAGGACACCATTGGGTTTTCAAGCTGAGGAGGACGCCCATCTACAAAAACTTCTTGACACTGGTGTTGTCATTCCATCTAGTTCTGAATGGGCATCACCGGTAGTACTTGTTCGCAAGAAAAATGGTGGTGTGCGTTGGTGCATAGACTATCGAAAGGTGAATGAGGTCAGTGTAAAAGATGCTTACCCACTTCCAAAAATTGAAGAGTGCCTCGATACGCTTAGTGGTGCGACTCTATTTTCCACCATAGACTTAATGAGTGGCTACCACCAAATTGAAGTTGATGAGAAGGACAGATCAAGGACCGCCTTTGTCACCAAACAGGGGCTCTTTGAGTACACCAGAATGCCTTTTGGCTTATCCAACTCTCCCTCAACTTTCCAGCGTGCAATGGAGCTCGTACTTAGAGGGTTTCAGTGGGTCATACTTCTTATTTATCTGGACAATGTGATAGTGGCATCCAGGTCTTTTGAAGAACATATGCAACATCTGCGTCAGGTTTTCTCCCGGATCCGTGAACACGGTCTGAAGCTGAAAGCCAAGAAGTGCCGTTTGTTTCGTGAGGAAGTCCTCTTCCTGGGATACATTATTAACGGTGATGGAATCTCCACCAATCCAAAGTTGGTAGAGGACGTCCTGAGTTGACCTGTGCCAAGCAACTGTAGGGAGCTTCAGTCTTTTCTAGGACTTACCAACTACGACAGACGGTTCGTTCAAAATTATGCAGAGATCGCTCTGCCACTGCATGACCTCACACGGAAGGAGGTAAAATTTGTATGGGAAGACCGTCAGTGTGAGGCATTCGAGGCCCTGAAGAAGGCAATTACCACTGCTCCGATATTGTCATACCCGTTGGAGAATTGCAAATTTGTCATAGATACGGATGCTTCTAACAGGAGTATAGGCGCCGTTCTTTCGCAAGTCCAAGATGGGGAGGAGAAAGTTGTTGCATATGCAAGTAGAAGACTGACCCCTGCACAGGAGAAATATTGTGTGACACGACGCGAACTTCTTGCAGTTGTTGCTTTCTGCCAGCATTTCAAACATTATCTTCTTGGCCGGAGGTTCTTATTACGCACAGACCATAGCAGTTTGTCATGGCTTTTCCGATTCAAGTCACCACAGGGACAGCTGGCGAGATGGCTAGAGGAGGTCAGTCAATACTCTTTTGACATCGAACACCGTGCTGGGAAGCTGCATGTGAACGCTGATGCCATGTCACGGATTCCGGATCACGATTCGTGCCCTTGCTACTTCGCGGGTGCCACCGTTGAAACTCTACCCTGTGGAGGATGTATGTACTGTGCAAAACTACAGACTGCGTGGGAAAGATTCGAGGAGGATGTTGACGATATTGTGCCTATAGCTGTTCGTTCGGCGGAGGTAACTGCTGTCGAAAAACACTCTGAGACCGGAGAGGACTCTAATACGAAGGACGATATTCCTCAATGTAACTGGCTACAGACCAAAAGTCCGATGGAACTTCACGAAGAACAGATGCAAGATGAGGATCTAAAACAACTGTATTCATGTGTGGCCAACAGCGAGACAGTTCCTCTGGGTGAGGCGCAAGCAAGAAGTCCTGCTCTGCGGAAGTATCTACTAACCCTTCAGCAGTTCAAACTGATACACGATGTTCTCTACTACCAGTGGGAGGCAAATGGACAGGAGTCACTGCGACTCCTGGTTCCATTCCAGATGAGAAAAGAGATCATGCAGGCATGTCATGAAGCTGTTTACTCCGGTCATCAAGGGGAGAAGAGAACTCTGGAACGAGTGAAGAAAGACTTTCACTGGCACAACATGTCGATGGATGTGAGCATATTTGTTCGGAAATGTCATGTATGTGCCGCTGAAAAGAAGAGTAGTAGAACTATGAGAGCACCTCTTCAGACCTACATCTGCGGAGCGCCAATGGACAGGATACAATTGGATGTCGTTGGGCCTTTTCCTATTAGTGATGCTGGGAACAAATACATACTTGTCATCATCGACCAGTTCACCAAGTGGGTCGAGGCGTATCCAATCACACAACAGGGCAGTAACACGACAGCAAAAAAACTGGTCCTGGAGTTCATCTCTAGATTCGGCGTACCCCTGGAGATCCACACGGATCAAGGACGAAACTTCCAAAGCGCCCTGTTCAAGAAAGTATGCCGGTTACTCGGAATCGCACAGACCAGGACTACGCCCTATCATCCTTCATCTAATGGTCAGGTTGAGCGGTTTAACCGCACGCTGTTGCAGATGATCAGGTGTTCTCTAGATCATGGCCAGGCGCATTGGGATGAGAACATTCACCTTCTTCTGTCTGCATATCGAAGTACGCCACACCCTGCGACAGGATTTACACCAAACCTGTTGATGCTGGGTAGGGAGGTCCATTCTCCTCCCGAGCTGATCTACATGGATCCGGATATTTCACGTTCCTCTGATGACGCACCCACCTACCTCGACCGGATGTTAGAGGGTATGCACATTACAGAGGAATTAGCTAGGAAAACATTGAGGGCTTCAAAGGTACATCAGAAAAAAGTATATGATCTACGGGCTAGGGGAAGAGAGTACCACGTCGGGGATCTTGTATACGGGAAGAACCAATCACGATCTGTTGGACAATCTCCGAAACTCCAATCTGTTTGGAATGGTCCTTTTGTGATCACCAAGAAATTTGGTCCGGTCGTGTATGAGGTCCGTGGCCGCAAGAAGGCTTCAGTTCTTCACCATGGCCGGCTAAAACAATATTTGTCTGAGGTCATCCCGGCCTGGGTTACCAAGATAAAGCATGATCTTGGTACCTCCTCTCTCCCAACGATTGCTGAGGAAGACCATCTTCCAACCATGGGTAAGAAGTTCGGGACAGAGGAAAACCACCACGAGCCGCAGAACAGCCAACAATCGCTGAAAGCCAGTTTACCAGAGGAAGAGCCAAAGACACCTGTGCCAACTGGGATGTGTTCACAGCGAACCATCTCAGATGAACAATCCCGGTCCTAGCGTTACGGCCGGGCATATAAGCAGCCTACCAAGCTTGACCTTTAGCAGGAGCTAAAGGAGCCTGGAAGGGGGTGGTGTAATGCGGATTTACCTCTTCCGGAAATCGGGGTCCGGTCCCCGGATTTGATGTTAGACACGGAAGCAGGTTATCCGGGGTTCGTTGAGTTTTACCGCCATTAAAAGGTTGCACTGAACACTCGGACGATCTTTGTGTTGTTATTGAAGAACACAGCCAGCCATCCGGCATAACAATATAGATTATGTAAGCTTCAATAATTTCACTTTATGTTTAACAGTTTTGGCCTATGGAACTCCTGTTCAACCTGTTTTAGTTTGTACAAGTTTCTGTATTTACAACAAAGCTGTTTAAAATTCTTTTTTTTTTTTAAATTTTAAAACAATAATGTTCATGGAAAACTCGTTAAACTGAAAACTTTTACGCTAAACGAAAATCACGAGAGTTCCATGAAACCCTTTTTCTATTTTCAAATATTTTCAATGAGTATATAGAACCACATAACACATATATTTACCACTAGCAGTCTCAACAACGTCTTAACTATACATATACATTTAACAACAGGAATCACCGGATCGCGGGGAGAGCTCGGTGACGTTGGCCGGCAAGGCCAAACTGGAACTGAAGGGGTTAAAGGTCAGCCAGGAGGACCAGGTGAAATCGGGGCCCCTGGAGGTACTGGTACTCAAGGCATAGATGGCGTGCGAGGTAGACCGGGAACAAAAGGAGACGGAGGCGATATTGGAGCAGCAGGTGTAAAAGGGGATATGGGCCTGGTCGGTTTCAAAGGGCAAAACGGGGAAAAGGGTTCACCAGGCGCAGCAGGTGATGTAGGGACACGGGGGCAAAATGGTACAGATGGACCTGTAGGGGGTGCAGGTGAGGTGAACATATTACTGTATTACTAGTCATTTATACCCGATGTGTTCGATAGATAAATAGATATACGTATTATTAAATTATTTTTTATGAGAAGTTCTTTTTACACAACCAATAATATTTTATAATCTAAGTAATCATATGTATATATATCTAAACGTTTTCTTCAGGTTGGTAAGTATGGATTATGATAAGTTCTTTTACACGACCAATACAATTGCCAATGTGACGTTTCGATGACTAGTACGGTATGTGACCGGTGAAGCGTATGCGTACAAAGGTGTAATGTGTACGAGTTGTCCATACAATCGATGTCGATTTCGGCTATGCCGGAAACGTATGTACAGTAGTTGTTATATATGTACTGAATCGACTTAATTCAGCTACATCTACATATATAACAACTATTGTACATACGTTTCCAGCGTAGCCGAAATCGACATCGATTGTATGGACAACTCGTACACATGTTACACGCTTCACTGGTCATTTGTGTGATGAAGGTGACAGTGTACATACCGTACTAGTCATCGAAACGTCACATTGGCAATTGTATTGGTGTTGTAAAAAGAACTTATCATAATCCATACTTACCCACCTGACGAAAACGTTTAGATATATATACATATGATTACTTAGATTATAAGCAAAAGAAAAATTACAGTACCTGCCAGTAGTTTACTTGTGGCTAACTTTACGAAAGAGAACTAAACTAATTACCTAGCGAATAACAATACTTGTCGTAAGGATTATTATCTCAATAACTATTCAGAATTGTGGTATCGCAGATTTCTCTGTTACACTATAACGACACAGGCATATTCGGTGTTTAATTACAATAAAATTCCTTTGAATTTCACTTTGATTCATTTTAGGTGCACTAGGACCAATGGGTCAGAAAGGTGAGCCGGGACCTGCTGGACCCCCCGGGGCAATCGTCGATAGGAACTGCACTTGTCAGGTTAAAGGTGAGTGAACCAAGTGCACAGTCAAATATGATATCGTTCATTGAGAAATACACTATGTTAGTCTTTCCTATCTGTGACGGTTTGGTAACTAAAAGGAATGCTGTATCTTGTTCGTTTGTGGCTAAACAGCCACGCTCATATGAGGACGAGTACCTAGGGAGACACCGCAGGAATTAGAGTAGATGGGAAAGGCATGAAATGAAAAGGTCCCAAGCGTTGCAATCGGGACAGCAGATCCTTCTTGGTCTCTTCCAAAGTTCTTCATAAATGTAGTTGGTATTCCCTGCTTAACGTTTAGCATTGAGGGTAGTGGCAACAGCTGGTTTTACCCGATTTCAGTATATTGTGACCGGGCGTAATGCTGTGCTGGGTGCCTTCGGCATGGCATTACAGTGAGGTAGCACTTTAAAGTCGGCATCAGATCCACACTATCACAAGGAGGCAAGTACCCCAACATATCCTGTCTCCTACATACACACACGCAAGCACGCATACACTACACACACGGACGTTCAACAAAATTAAATCAAACCATTGGTCTCTTCAATGTTCCCTACGCAGAAGTCGCGGAGGGCAATTCCCGATTCAGAAGAGCCCCCCATGGGAAACAGCAGGCCTATTTCCCCGGAAACATCACAGGACTCTGACTCCTTGGAGAATTGAGAATTTGCTTTCGTAAACTCTACTTGGGGACACAAGCGACCAAAATATATTTGCTGTACCAATTGCAATATTTGGGATCTTTATATTTCTCTCTACTTCTAACTACCGTTAATTTTCTATCGCCTTGCTTAGCAAAACCTCAAATTAGGCTTGAAGGTTCGCTCATGTGAGGAAGGCTATTGGTTCTGTCCTCAGGCTAAGACTTACCAAAGTCTTTAAAATGGTAGTTGTTATTCCCTGCTTAACGTTCAGCTTAAGGGGTTTTGGAAACAACTGGTTCACCTGTTGTCAGTATAAAGTGACCGGGAGGAATACTGTGTTGGATGTCTTCTTCTTGGTATTTCAGTGGGATAGCACTTTAAAGTCGACATTAGAGACGCGCTATCACTAGGAGGCAAATACACGAACATAGGTTGTAGAAAACGCACTTGTCTTTCAACAAGGCGACTGGGGTTCGATTTCCTCCGGGTTCTTACCAGATTAAGAGACCTGCGCGCCAATAAGAGTTATTAATACAAGTTGCATAATTGTTGTTAAGTAAATAGACATTATATAACCATGATATTTGGGGGTTAGACGGTATAAAACAAAAAAACTGTGTAGATTTTATAAAAAAACCAATCCTGGTTGTTCCTTTTTAGTGGGGAGGGAGTTCTTGTATATGAATATTATTTTGGGATCCTTATGCAAACAACTTTAAGTCGGAATTTCATTTGTTCGTATACGAACGATAGAAATTATTTGTTAACTTGTGTAATCTCAACATAATTGGAGATTTAGCGGGTGGAATACTACGCTGGGTGCTTTTCATAGCATTTCAACGAGGTAGCATCATAAAGCTGGGATCGGGTTCACGCTATCAAAAGGGACAAATATATAAACATACTGTTTCCAACACATGCAAGTAATATTTCATATATACGTACTGAACTTTAATATAATTAATATATTGACAACTTTGTTCTTATGTACCCAGTGTCCCTGCAGGTAGGGCGTAAGAATTGTACCTTCTGCCCCCATTGCATGATCGTAGAGGCGACTAAATTTGGGATCTTATATTTTCTCTTCTTTTTAAACAGCTTTCTTCTTCCTAATGTCTCCCTTGACAATGCCTCACTTTTGGCCTTTAGTTGAGCGTATGCTCTTGTGAGGAAGGCTTTGGGTTCTGTCCCCTGGCAGAGACATACCAGAGTCTGTAAAAATGGTAGTTGTTACTCCTGCTTAAAGTTCAGCAATTTAGGAGTGGGGCGACTGGTTCGCCCGTTGTCGGTTTAATGTGACCAGAACGGGTGTCCTGCTGGGTGTATTCAGCAGTATGTTTCAGTGAGGTAACACTTTAAAGTCGGCATCAGTTCCGCGCTGTCACGGGGAGACAAAAACGAACATATCGCAGCCTCCTAAAACACGCATGCATCTTGCACACATGGGAGGCCGTCCTTAAATTATCATAGCTGTTGATAGATATTCAACAGCCTGTTCGAAATGTCATAACTTCCCTGCTCGATTTGGAATGCTGACGGATATTCGCACATTAAACAATTGTTTGAAAATGAAGATTATGACTGTTGGTTGGTTGGAAAGGGTTTGACGTGCAATGAACAGATAAAGTGTTTGTTGTTTATGCGTGTTTGTGTGTAGGGAGCAAGGTTTATTCGTGTAATTGCCTTTTTGTGATAGCACAGATTTGTTGACGATTTTATAGCGCTACCTGACTGAAGTGCCATGCCGATGGCACCCAGCAAAGCATTCCTCCCGGTCAAGTTATACTGACTCAGACTTTTTCAGGAGGGAAAACATTTCTACTCAATAGTTTAAAAATAAATCATTTATAATAATATGCTTCTGTCTCCAAGGCATACATCCCGACACCAGCACCACTAAGGCACCTGCTGTTGGCCCATCTATTAACGGAGCTGTCGACCACACACGAATTCTTGATCCTGTACAACTGACGTGTTTGACAACGCCTTCCCCTGATCAGACTATAACGTGGGAGAAAATTGGCGTTCCAATGAGCGCTCGCTACGACGTTACGACTGACCCAAATATCCTGTCAATACCGGAAGTATATGCATACGACACCGGAAGATACCGTTGCACGGCGACATCAAAAACGGGAGCAACTATCCAAGCAACAATATCGCTGAAAGTTGACGGTGAGTTTGATTCCAGTTTGACAACTTACTCGTAAATCCTTTTATTTCGATAGAACGCTTCTTAACATACTACCTCCCTTTATTCTAGACGAGATAACATATCAATAATCTGTTATTTTAGTCGAGACAGTCCTTGTTATCTCCCTTTGTTATAAGCGTGACACATTAGGCATTTGTTCCATACCTTATCTAATAATATGAACTGTCCATCGGGTCATTGTCAACACCTACGGTAAATAGGGTTCGATTCCCCGATCGGCCGTGATAAGGTATGGGGCCAACCGCCCGACCACGTGCCGGTCCAACAAGAGTGATTAATATAAATTAACATAACTTGTTACATAATTGTTGTGAAATAAATAGAAGTTTAGATATATACAGGTTTTGATTGTTACTTGACACTATAAATATATATTTATGTAAATACAAGTTAAACAAATGTAACTATTTCTCGAGCAAACATCACCAGTTTTGATCATTTTCTGGCAGTAACTGATCCGATGACCTCCGTGGTCAACAACTACAGTTTGAAGAATCTACTTCTGCATTTTAAGTCAAAAAGTAGTTTATTTTTTATTAACTGGATAACAAGTTAGATGCATCACGTGTCAAGAGTCAAAAGTCAATACCTTTACCGTCGATGTTGCCAACCGCAGGGAACTATTTTTCAAGGCCTGCGGTATCTGGATTGGCTCTTGATGTGACTCTTTAAAAAACGATTCCCAGATTGAAACAAGTTACCGTTGTGCTGTTGCCCGGCAATGTAAACCAAAAAGTAGTCAAAACTCATGTCAAATCCAAGGTTTCTTTTGTACGACGCTGTCAGCCAAGCTGCTTGACATACAACAGTTTATACAAGCCATACGACAGTTTATACAAGCAGTTTATACAAGCCATACAACAGTTTATACAAGCCATACAACAGTTTATACAAGCCATATACTGTAACAGTTTATACAAGCCATACAACAGTTTATACAAGCCATACAACAGTTTATACAAGCCATATAACAGTTTATACAAGCCATACAACAGTTTATACAAGCCATACAACAGTTTATACAAGCCATACAACAGTTTATACAAGCCATACAACAGTTTATACAAGCCATACAACAGTTTATACAAGCCATACAACAGTTTATACAAGCCATACAACAGTTTATACAAGCCATACAACAGTTTATACAAGCCATACAACAGTTTATACAAGCCATACAACAGTTTATACAAGCCATACAACAGTTTATACAAGCCATACAACAGTTTATACAAGCCATACAACAGTTTATACAAGCCATACAACAGTTTATACAAGCCATACAACAGTTTATACAAGCCATACAACAGTTTATACAAGCCATACAACAGTTTATACAAGCCATACAACAGTTTATACAAGCCATACAACAGTTTATACAAGCCATACAACAGTTTATACAAGCCATACAACAGTTTATACAAGCCATACAACAGTTTATACAAGCCATACAACAGTTTATACAAGCCATACAACAGTTTATACAAGCCATACAACAGTTTATACAAGCCATATAACAGTTTATACAAGCCATACAACAGTTTATACAAGCCATACAACAGTTTATACAAGCCATACAACAGTTTATACAAGCCATATACTGTAACAGTTTATACAAGCCATACACCAGTTTATACAAGCCATACAACAGTTTATACAAGCCATATACTGTAACAGTTTATACAAGCCATACACCAGTTTATACAAGCCATACAACAGTTTATACAAGCCATATAACAGTTTATACAAGCCATACAACAGTGTAAATCTGTTTTGGCGGGTGGGGGGCAATGCAGAGTTTGGTAACAATCCCAACTTTTCCCCCGCTTGATCGGTACTAGCTCCCTCCCTTTATTAACGTACGTTCACCAGTCGTCAGATAGCTCTATCGGCATAAGATCCGCGCTATCACAAGGAGGCAAGCACTCCAAATGCCCTGTCCCCGGCCCACATACACACATGCACGCAAACAAAACATACATGGAGGCAAATCTTTCAGTGACCTAACCTGTTAATAGGACGTTAAACAAAATAAAACCAAACCAAAACCAAACCTCTCTTTATTCAAGGTGTGACACGGTACTAATTACCTCCATTTATTCCAGGTGTGGCACAGTACTAATTACCTCCATTTATTCCAGGTGTGGCACAGTACTAATTACCTCCCTTTATTCTAGGTGTGACACATAACTAATTACCTTCCTTTTATTTCAGGTGTGACACAGTACTAATTACCTTCCTTTTTATAGGTGTGACACAGAACTAATTACCTCCCTTTATTCTAGGTGTGTTACATAATTAATTACCTCCCTTTATTTCAGGTGTGACACATAACTAATTACCTCCATATTTTCCAGGTGTGACACAGTACTAATTACCTCCATATTTTCCAGGTGTGACACAGTATGACTGTAGCTTTGAAGTCGACACGTGTAATTGGAAGCAAAGTACAACAGATGACGTGGACTGGGCTCGTTTTGCTGGTGCGACTCCCTCTACAGGGACTGGTCCAACCACTGACCACACGGTCGGCCACGGTAACTACATCAGTATAAACTGTAGACTGACCAGTCCATCCATAGCGTCTAACCTGTTGTCTCGTTAACACCAGGCACGCCGAGAAAACAGAACATGGATCAAATTAAAAACGTTTTTTAAATTGCTCGATAGTGATTGATATTTCGTCTCAATTACATCAAGAATGATTTCCGGCTAATAATTTCTAAATTATATATGAGAAAATAATAAAAACACCGGTCGATTTATTAAACAACACAATTGTGTGTTGTGTGCAATATAGTCTCACCAACAATCACTTGTCGGTTTTATGCCTGTTTTTCTTTATCCATGTCCCCTTTTCTATCTTTTCGGCTGTTTGTTTTTCTGTCCTTGTGTTTATGCCTGGTTTTCTTTATCCATGTCCCCTTTTTGACTGTTTGTATTTCTGTCCTTGTGTTTATGCCCGGTTTTCTTTATCCATGTCCCCTTTTCGACTGTTTGTATTTCTGTCCTTGTGTTTATGCCTGTTTTTTTATCCATGTCCCCTTTTCTATCTTATCGGCTGTTTGTTTTTCTGTCCTTGGTCCCCTGCCTGGTTTTCTTTATCCATGTCCCCTTTTCTATCTTATCGACTGTTTGTATTTCAGTCCTTGTGTTTATGCCTGTTTTTCTTTATCCATGTCCCCATTTCTATCTTTTCGGCTGTTTGTATTTCTGTCCTTGTGTTTATGCCTGGTTTTCTTTATCCATGTCCCCTTTTCTATCTTTTCGACTGTTTGTATTTCAGTCCTTGTGTTTATGCCTGTTTTTCTTTATCTATGTCCCCTTTTCTATCTTTTCGGCTGTTTGTATTTCAGTCCTTGTGTTTATGCCTGTTTTTCTTTATCCATGTCCCCTTTTCTATCTTTTCTGCTGTTTGTATTTCTGTCCTTGTGTTTATGCCTGGTTTTCTTTATCCACGTCCCCTTTTCTATCTTTTCGACTGTTTGTATTTCTGTCCTTGTGTGTATGCCTGTTTTTCTTTATCCATGTCCCCTTTTCTATCTTATCGACTGTTTGCATTTCGGTCCTTGTGTTTATGCCTGTTTTTCTTTATCCTTGTCCCCTTTTCTATCTTTTCGACTGTTTGTATTTCTGTCCTTGTGTGTATGCCTGTTTTTCTTTATCCATGTCCCCTTTTTCTATCTTTTCCACTGTTTGTATTTCAGTCCTTGTGTTTATGCCTGTTTTTCTTTATCCATGTCCCCTTTTCTATCTTTTCGACTGTTTGTATTTCTGTCCTTGTGTTTTTGCCTGGTTTTCTTTATCCATGTCCCCTTTTCTATCTTTTCGACTTTTTGTATTTCTGTCCTTGTGTTTATGCCTGTTTTTCTTTATCCATGTCCCCTTTTCTATCTTTTCGGCTGTTTGTGTTTCTGTCCTTGTGTTTATGCCTGTTTTTCTTTATCCTTGTCCCCTTTTCTATCTTTTCGGCTGTTTGTATTTCTGTCCTTGTGTTTATGCCTGTTTTTCTTTATCTATGTCCCCTTTTCTATATTTTCGACTGTTTGTATTTCAGTCCTTGTGATTATGCCTGTTTTTCTTTATCCATGTCCCCTTTTCTATCTTATAGACTGTTTGTATTTCAGTCCTTGTGTTTATGCCTGTTTTTCTTTATCTATGTCCCCTTTTCTAGATTTTCGACTGTTTGTATTTCAGTCCTTGTGATTATGCCTGTTTTTATTTATCCATGTCCCCTTTTCTATCTTTTCGGCTGTTTGTATTTCTTTCCTTGTGTTTATGCCTGTTTTTCTTTATTCATGTCCCCTTTTCTATCTTATCGACTGTTTGTATTTCAGTCCTTGGGTTTATGCCTGTTTTTCTTTATCCATGTCCCCTTTTCTATCTTTTCAACTGTTTGTATTTCTGTCCTTGTGATTATGCCTGTTTTTCTTTATCCATGTCCCCTTTTCTATCTTTTTGGCTGTTTGTATTTCAGTCCTTGTGTTTATGCGTGTTTTCTCCATAATAACCTTTTGTTTTAAAATGTTACGTTCGTGATCAATTTTATCATTTAGATATGTAATGTGATGCGTTGTTTTAGTTGTCAATATATTTATATTTCATTTAATCGTAATGCAACAGCTACGTCTGATTATTTGGATCATCTGTTTGATATATTTCAAATAAAGCAATTGACCCAGGGACCAGTCTGAGAAAGCGAACTGTATTGACTAACAGTTCCTCAATATGATACAGAAACCAAATATATTCACTGTTTTGTTACTTTAATAATTTTAGTTTAACGAATGAGAATTGCTGTTGTTTCAGTAATCACCTGCATATTTAAAGATTTTTTTTTATTCTAGTTTAATTACATATTTTCACGTATGATTAGTCAATGACATTATTACAGCGAGCGTAAACCGTTTATTCATATTCCACACACACTTACAGGAGAATCGCTAACATATCCCACACCCAATTACAGGAGTATCGCTAACATATCCCACACCCAATTACAGGAGAATCGCTAACATATCCCACACCCACTTACAGGAGAATCGCTAACATATCCAACACCCAATTACAGAAGAATCGCTAACATATCCCACACCCACTTACAGAAGAATCGCTAACATATCCCACACCCAATTACAGGAGTATCGCTAACATATCCCACCCCCAATTACAGGAGTATCGCTAACATATCCCACACCCACTTACAGGAGAATTGCTAACATATCCCACACCCACTTACAGGAGAATTGCTAACATATCCCACACCCACTTACAGGAGAATCACTAACATATGCCACACCTAATTACAGGAGAATCGCTAACATATCCCACACACACTTACAGAAGAATCGCTAACATATCCCATACCCACTTACAGGAGAATCGCTAACATATCCCACACCCGCTTACAGAAGAATCGCTAACATATCCCATACCCACTTACAGGAGAATCGCTAACATATCCCACACCCACTTACAGCAGAATCGCTAACATATCCCACACCCACTTACAGGAGAATTGCTAACATATCCCACACCCACTTACAGGAGAATCGCTAACATATCCCACACCCACTTACAGGAGACACGCTAACAGACCTTCAGTTACACTCTCCGCATCATTAAGATTTAAACAATTTATAAATCTATCACGAATTTCCGACTTAATTAGCCTATTTCAAACCAAAAGAGATGAACGTTAGGGGTAATAGTTCTGTGCTTATTCTGTTCCATCAAAACTCGGAACTTGATAATATTTGACACACCTGAACATCAATGAACAGGATGGTAAACCTACACAGGGAGTGTAGCCGGCCATTGTGAGTATCCCCAGGTAATATCAATGAACAAGAGGGTAATCCTACACAGGGAGTGTAGCCGGCCGTTGTGAGTATTGTGAGGTAATGTCAACAGAACGGAAGTCTGACAAAAACAAAAAATCCAAAATGACAATCGACAATCGTTTTCTTATGTAACTAATTACAAGTAATAGGACAGGATATTTTATCTGACTATTAAAGGGAACCTTACAAAACTGTTCTTTTTCACAAAGACAGAAAAAAATAATCCAATCCGAAATGACAATCGTTTCCTCATTTATTTTATTACAAGAAATAGGACAGGTCATTTTATATTACTGTTCTTTTTTTTAAATTCGGACAAAAAAAAACCCCAATCCAATTGACAATCATTTTCTAATTGAATTGATTATAATAAATAGGACAGGTCATTTTATCCGACTCTAAAACGGAACCTTACCAAAATGTTTTTTATGACAAAGTCTGACAAAAAATTCAATCCGAAATGAAAATCGTTTTCTCATTTATTTGATTACAAGACATAGGACATGTGTGGTCTATATTGACAGGAAGCGAGGGTTATTACCTGTATCTAGAGACGTCCAGTTATGTCGCTGGTTACAAGGCTGACCTGGTATCTCCCACTGTTGACCACACGAAGCGCTACTGCGTCAGTTTCTGGTACAATATGAACGGTATCCAGGTAGCGGATCTCCACCTTATTGCTCAGGTACGGAAGCACAGACTTTGGTGTTATATTTGCATATGGCCTATATACCAGGGTGACATTTTGTTAGAGAATAATTTAAATCGTCCACACTTTGCCATTTTCCGTGTAATTAATAAAAACGTGTTTTTTTTAAACATTTTAAATATATATATATATATATTTTAGAAGAATAGTTAAAACTCTAATATGGATTTTTTTTTTACATTTTGAATGATTAATTGTTTTATTTAGAGTTATGTGTTGCAAGGTCCGTTTGTATTTAAAGAGGGGCCGCGGTGGCCAAGTGGTTAAGGCATCTGACTTCTGCTACAACTAGCCCTCCACGCCTACGTGGAGCAGTCGCCAGGTACTGTCCGTAGGTCGATGGTTTTTCTCCGGGAACTCCGGCTTTCCTCCACCATCAAAACATGGCACGTCCTTCAATGACCTTAGCTGTTAATAGGACGTAAAACACAAACAAACCAAATGTATTTAATGACACGTGGGGAAATTAAATTGATATGTTGCCCCATCGCAACCTTTGAGATCTATTTTTTGTCCCTTCCCTACTCTCTCTTTTCGGTGGTCTCTCCTTGGCCAGAACTCTTCCTATGGCCGTGTTAAACCATAAACAGACGACGAGAATGTAGAACGAGGACGATGACAAATCGATAATGGCGATGTTAATTCTTACCATGGTATAAATGTTGTATTAAACAATACATTTTGATCACAGACTGATTATATTTATTGTAGGAAAATGGCGGCACCGAGGATTCTTTGTGGACGATTAGTGGTAACAAGGGTGCCACGTGGCACTCAGCACGTGTACAGCTTGTAACCCGTAGCCAGGACTACAATCTGATCATCAGAGCCATTCAAGGACGCGGTTACCATGGAGACATCGCCATTGATGACGTAACCGTTCGGGAAGGAAGTTGCTAACATATGTTTCCTGTTTAATGATAAACAATTATTAAGAAAACAATCATTACAATGTTGTTTTTTGCCGTTTACAAAAATATCTTCCTGGCGTACTATTTCCTATATGATACTCGATTTTCCGACTGTTGACGAGATACAGACCAAATGTTTTACCGCTCTTCCATCGTCATACTCGAATTTGTATAGGAAATAGCCTATATGAGTATACATATGTGTTTACGAATTCTAACAAAGCCCTAAGTATACATAACCAGAAATGCACAATAACAATATGGTAACGTATAAGCGGGACACCTGCTGCAGAAACGTGGACCTTCTTTGGTGTCCTGTAGTTAGGAGACATAGGCGAAACCGTGATTGATCTGCTGCTTTTAAAATGTATTGCAACACCATCCTTGACACTACAAGGGTTACGCCCACTCTCGCTCTCTGCACTCCTGGAATATGTCATAGGTCATTTGAAGATTTCAGAGAAGTCATGCCCGACTTCAAAGCCAAAACGTTTTACCGTTAAACGACTGCGAAATTCTTTTGATGTACATCAAATGATTAAACTAACCTTCTCATCTCATCCACAAGGCGGTGCACACTGAGGCTGCGATTTTGCTATGACATATTCCAGGGTTGCAGGGAGCGAAGGTGAGCTTAACCCCTGGATATCGAGGATGCTTCCACACTAAAAGGTTGTATATGTCTCCCCTGGCACCTGTCATCACAGACCTGTTTCGAGAATGCTAACCCAAACAACTATGAATAGAAAACTGGAATTACACAATGTATCTACGTATTTTCGACTATTGACTTTACCTGGTACTTGTTAAACGTCCACGTACATTGCCATTACACAATATCGATTGTCCCTGGTAACGACAACTCACAAAACGAGTGGGCATTCTAGTGTATTGATGAATACTGGTTTAATTCAATAAACCTGTGTTTGATTAAGGGTTATTTTACACGCAAACAATGAATTACCGGAGTGTCTATATTCGGAAATTTAAAAACGTTTTTTTATTAGTTTAGCCTGATCATTCTAATTTATTTACTCTAGACAGACGGTTGATTAGGAATGATTGATATTTTGTTATCCTAGCTAGATTGTATCAGGAAACAGGAACATGTTTTCAAAATATCCAAGTAAAATAGAAGTGACGTTAACAAAATATTAAAGTACAAAAAGACACCTGAGAGGGTTTAAGAAACAATATAAAGACACATTTGAAAAATCGTTGTCATAAAAATGTAACGTCGACGAGGTTTCCGACATGTTTCTCGAAAAGAGTATGGCCGAATTCAACGAAACTTTACATGAGTTTTCGTGTATGACAGGCGGTGCGCAAGAGTATTTTTGTTTTTCGATCGGTCATCCGACTGGTCAGACGGACGGCGGCCTCTGATTGATCGAAATTTAGACATTGTCCGATTTTGGTGACATTTGGTATATAGGTGATGTATGGCAGTACCAAAACAATTGCGCTGTTTTTTTGTGATTAAATAAAATGGCCGCTATTTCATGACATCTGATTGGTCGAAATTTAAATATTGTCGGATTTCGATCGAATTTGGTATGTAGGTAAATCATGGGAAAATGATCACTTCCGTAAGTTAGGTTTCACATTTCAACAAAATGGCCGCCGTTTTTTCCCTCTGATTGGTCAAAATTTGAATACTGTCTGATTTGGATGGAATTTGATGCAAAGGTGTAATATGGCACTACGAATACAACTGCGGTGTTTGTTTTGTCGCAGCAAAATTGGGGTTGGTTCGTTCCTTGTCTTCTATATAGGGAACATTGAAGACACAACAAATATACCTGTTTCGCGTCACTGCATGTTTATCATAAATGGCGACTAAGACGTTTGTTTTGCGCTAGTAAGGAAAATCTAATAACAAGCACATATTGACTTAACAAACATTAACCTGAACACGAGGTGGCATAATAATAATCATAACAAAGAACCCGAAACCGCTAAAATGAATCCGGAATACACTAGTAGTGTCGCTGCACAATTCGTCACTGTTTTCTTTCAAGACCACTAAGAGAAGACCAGTATTGATCTGATGCCCCCATTGTAGCACTTTGGATTTTTTGCTTCCTGTCTTTCGAGTCTTTTCCCCATCGACTGATCTTTCCCGGTGGTGTCCCCCTAGGCACGCGTGCTCATATAACCCTGTCTGTTTCGGAATATTAAACCCCACGAAAAACACAATATTTCATTTTTGTCTTTTGCAATACAGGTTAAATTTTTAAGTTGATGTCGACGTCTTTTCACGTTTTGTAACTTGTTTTTCTTGATAAGCAACCTCTGCCAAGTCGTCGTCGTAATTAATGAGTTTAACACTGCGGTATCACTTCAGTTTAGACGCCAGACTACGACGTAAATATCCTCTCTTATCTGCTGATTGTAGCCGGGCCAAAACTCTTAAGTTTTATTACTGTGTCCAACCTCTTTCAAAATCAAATTTTGTATGTCGTACATTTGTATGTCGATTTCGTTCCGTTTAATTTTGTTTAAGTGAACCTCCGTTGAATTTCTGTATACTCTCTTGCATTAATAGTCTCGATAAAATCAGACAGCACGTCTAACTGGCGTTGGCTTAGTTGTGATTGATTTGGTTAAACGTCCTTATAACAGCTAGGGTCATTTAAGGACGTGTTTGGCGTTGTGATATCTTTAAATGTTTTCAACTTATCAAAGAATCTTCCACCGTGAGTTAGACCTAGATCTTTACACATGTTTTGATGTAGTTTGGTGAAGTACAACGGTACCACTTTTCCCCCTGCCGAACCTTATGGTGGTCGACTTACGATTTATCTAACAAGAAGGACGAAAAGACGAAAGTAAAAATGAAGAAACAATTCCAGTTATAGTACAGGTTGATTACCGATAACAAAAATCGCAATTTGTCGTTTTGATGTTACAAATTTAGGACAACCGTATCCCATACATCATTTACGTCTTCTATGTTTATCTTACTTGTATGTCTGTCACACCCATTTCCTTAGACAGTATAATGTGACCGGGCGGAATGCTGTGCTTTGTGCCTTCGGCCTGACATTTCAGTGAGATAGCACTTTAAAGTCGGCATCAAATACGCGCTATCACAAGGAGGCAAGCACACCAACATACCCTGTATCCTGCATACACACACGAAAGCATGCATACACAACACACACGGAGACACGACCTTAAATGACTTTAGCTGTTAATAGGACGTAACACATAATTTAACCAAACCAAACCATTCCGCACGTTTCGTTGTTTTATAGGAACATTGCTATTTTTTACCCACATTATTCTCTGTTCGACATCATCTTTTTTGCAGAAATGATATTGTTTCAAGCGCAAATTCCTCCTTGTATTTTGCACAAGTATTCAGTGGATGTGTTTCACACAGTACGTGCATTGCAGGTAAATGTTTAAAGGGAATAAACCATTTTTGACCGTAGACAAATATGTTTTCTACATCCTTTCGACAATAAATATTTTGCTGTCACCAAGTAATTTTTCTTCGCTATATTTATGCAAACTAACGCTCATGCATCGTTGTACACTATTCAATAGTTTGGGCCACTGAAGATAAGATATAACGATCCTTCCAAATGTCATTGTAAGTACATGTATGATGAGACCAGGATGTACATTAAGCTATTCCGTCTTTGTGTATTGCAGAGTTATCTTCTCTTGTGAGCAGGTATTGATTGTTACGTCATTGGTTTGTGTGAGAAAAATACGTTGTTTTCTCAAAAAATGATCTTTCTCATTTTGGGGTAGGCCTAGCACGGAGCAAGGAGACAGAGACCTAGACAAGCAAATACAGGGGTCATTTCAAAAATAATTTTGTATGAAACGTAACGTATAGCGTACACGCACATGTACGTGACTACAGGTAAGCGAACAGGTAACATCATATGGAGACACATTATACAATATTATTTGACCGGTGACCATAGTGGTTATAGTCTTTTTTCGTGGCTCACAGCGGCAAGTATGTAACCGTGGTAATGGCACGGTTCCGCTATCACGGTTTCGGATATTTTTATGCATACGTTCCGGACATTAGTTTGCACTCGATTTCACTTCCGGGGAGTTCGCGCCATTTCACAGGACAACACGATTTTAGAGCGAATTTCACTAAAATTCATCAGGTAAATGATACGAGATCGATGTAAAGGTTAAAATTTCTCAACACTAATATACGCTTGATGACATGGTAAGTTGCAGACGATATATTATGACAAGGTAACGCATTTTACCGCTACAGCAAGGTGGCAGTACCCAAATCGCATCGGTACCCAAATCGGATCACTTTTGCAAAAATACTTATAAATAAATAAATGTGTCAACAAATCAGTTATAACAATGATGTAGTCTTAGAATAGATAGCCATGCACCATTTTTTGTCTATGGATAATTAGTTTTAAGTTCAAATAGCGCAAGAAAACGTAATTGAAACTCAAATGTCAATGTTTTTATTACGTTTTTAAAAAATGGCGCGTGCGACGACTATGCACTTTGTTTTGGACTACAGGAATAAATTCACACTATAGAAATACTTTTTGTCATATAAATTCTAAAGTTCATCATAAAATGTTAATATGCTGACAAAAAAAAATATTCATTTGAAGCGTACAATACTGTAAAATGTTTGGTGACTTCCGAGCGTTCTATAAATATCTCAAGTGAGCCCCGGGTGCTAATTTCGTTTGTAAGAACACTCACCGATAATCTTTTTTGATACAACTATAAATAAATATAATTCTTCCACAGATTTTTCAATGATTTAAAAAAAAATGATGGTTTGGTAATCCGATTTGGGTACTGTCACCTTACAGTACAATATAATTTTCCCATTTCGATCATGTGACTTCACCTTTCTTCGTTCAAGTTTATTTTCCCCAATCGACGATGTATATAAGCGTGGATAAAGTATGACATGCTCTCGTACCAGTGCTACACTCTTGATTTATTGCTTCTGTCGTACAAGTCAGATACAGCATGAAGGTAACAAAGTAACAGTCCAGCATGGGTTCTTATTTTCTTCTTCTTTAGATTAATG